CACATATTAATGTTAACGTTAAATAGCTGCGTGGTATCATTCATATTCTCAACTACATCTGAAACTTTTATCATCACTACACTGTGCATTATCTTATGCACAAATTCTTATCTAAAAATCCAGTCATGGGTCTTTATGTGATTATGGTTCACAAATTTAAAAGTCTTTCTAAAAGTCATCATTACGAAATGCAGCTAACAAAGCAAGTCTTTGGAAGGTGCTTGCATTTAGTGAACAGGATTGTGTCTCTGATTTGCTTTAAATTGAAAGTAAACAGTCAATAGCAGAATGGAATTTGGACACAACATCTGTGTTGATAAAAGTCTGACTGACTTACTTGTTCTGTTAGGTTTTAGTTCTAAGCAAAGCCTCAAACAGAAGACAACTGGGTTACACCCCCTCTTCCATGTACAAAATACCCTGTATCTTTCAACATTGGGTGCGCGTACACACACACACACACACACACACACCACTTCAATTTAAATCCCAACACAGATTTCAGAAAAGTACCTGCAATCTCCGCCGTTCCTCTCTGCCACTTGGATTCTGGATTTTGGTTTCTGTGCCTCAATTGGGAAAAAATAGGTTAGAGTGCTGTAAAACCCCAAAAACCTTTAGGAAACTGTGACATCCGCAGTTAGCATTTCTCAAACCGAGTTTTGCTGTGGCCTCTGCTAAACTTTGGAGGGGCTTTGTTCCCACTTAAGACTCTGCGCCAACCTCCCTCTTGGTTGTGAAGACACTTATCCTCCTCTTCAGTTAATGAGTTTCACCTAGTCTGGCCGTTTGTGTTTTTATAAAAGATCTGCAAAGCACTAATTGCAAAAGAAGGAAAAAAAGCTTATGTTTCGCATTAATCAGAATGTGGAATTCTACAGTATAAACATTTTCTATTTTAATGTTTCAAAAACAAACCTTATCCTAATTTCTGGGTGTGCACACACAAACTCAGTACACTTCTGGGTGTAAAATGTGAAGCTCTCTGCAGCAATTACCTCTGGCCTGAGTCCCTTACTATTTAAAGGAACTCTGAAGGGAAAAAGATGCCTGTACCAAATACACTTTCAGAAAATATTGTATAAAGAAGGCTGTTTCTTCTTAATGGTCTTTTTGATTGATAGTTCAGTTAGTCTAAGGGATTTTTTTGTTCTAAAAATTATCAAGGGAAAAACTGTGCATGAAGAGTTATTTTCTTTAAATATGTTACTCGGAACCCTTAGTCCATAAGCTACTGTTTTTGTTAAGTATTGGGCTGTAAAAAAAAAAAAGAAAAAGAAAAATTTACAAACCATGTGAACTTTTATAACATGTTTTCTAGAAGCAGAATTTCAGAATTTGAAGTAATCAATATAAAGAAGCATTTTAAAATCTGGCACATTAGTAATAGTTATGCTAGCCTGGCTAGCTTTTGAAAATCAATTTTATTAGCATGCAAAAACTCAAACTGGGAGAATTTTCTGAAAGTGTACTGCATCATTTTCATATTTTTTCTGCTCAAATTTTATGTAAAATGTGTTAAAAATCAGTTATCATTTTACAAAATGCATTCACAGCCCCTTGATAAAGATTGAGTCACTTGCTTCTTTAGTGTTTTTCTCTTTGTGAAAGGCACTGGAGTTTTTAATTATTATTAGTTTACTGTAGAAAATATATTTAGAGAAAGTGCAACTTTTAAAAACACTTTGCACAGTTCAGAAAAATACCCAAGCAATGAAATGAAATAAAATGTTTCATTTCAAACTATAATTCTAAAATTTCAAATGTAGAAGAGGTTTAGGGTCTCTGGGAAATGTTTTGGTCATTTGTAAAACATGCATTATCCATGTTTTTCTTCATTTTATGAACTCACTTTCTCCAGTCTTCTTTTAGCATTTTTAATCTACTACCAATTCTTTAAATCGTGAATAAACTGAGCTGTGTTGTCACATCATGCCAACTAGTGTTAAAAAAAAAAAAGCCTATACAACTTAGTGAAACAGAAATGATCATTTGAAATTTACCAAAAAAAAGTACTTAAATTCTTTTAAGTTATATTTAAATATCCCTTTGAAACATAGGAAATATAAATCAGCATATTAAAGAGTAAATACATTATTTGTACAGGAAACCACCAACAAAATCGGTGTGTAACCCCTATTAACTTCTAAATATGAGAAAATAATATTTTACTGATTCTTTACACACTGATTACCATTCAATAAGTCATCTTATTTTCTTCCTTCTTGACATGCTTGAAAAATAGATTAATTGATGTCTGTTTTAGCAATTTTGCTTGCTTGTTCTAGTGTTTTATCAAGGTACTTTAATTCAGATAATCAAATACCTTAGAAAGAGTAAATAACATGTCTGTAGAATAGGGTATAATTTATTTTGTCCGTTGATTTTGGGAGACCAGTTTCCATATAAAAAGTAGCTTACAATCCTTTCTTTTGATGAAATGCATCTTAGGAGGAAAAGCCTCTTTTAGGATAATATACAAACACTCATTGCCAAATCATGATCGAAACATTTAAAAAAACAGCATTAAGTTTAAAAAGCTATATCAGTTCGTATAAGCAATATTTTGATTACGTTTATTCCATTTCTCTAAATGGCAATAACTCCTCTGCAGTAATGTTGCTATGTGCATGATCCACCTTGAGCTACAATTCACTTTCCATCAAACATTAATGAAATTGCACTTAAGCGGGGGCGGGGGGAGCGGTGGAGGAGGGGGTCGAAAGTTAATCTCCCAAGGTAAGTTCCACTTCAAGAAGAAAACCTTGTTAAAGCTGGGTTGATTTTTAGAGCTACAACCACCACCTAAGTCTCCAACGTTTAAAACTCCGAGAGCTTTGGTTAGGAACGTGGTGGTGGATGTGGACTCGGCCGGCTTTTTACACAATTTAGGAACCTCCGGAAGGAGGAAATCACCTCAAAGCTTCCTGGCCGGCGCGATCTCAGGGTTCGATCCCGGGGCTTGTCGCGTCCCCACCCGCACCGGAGGCCCGGCGCCCGTCCCTCTCCGCGATCCGTCCGTCCGCTCGCGAGCGGCGGCCCCGCCGTCGGCGCGCGCAGACCCTTCCCCGGCGGAACCCGCGCCACCTCCCGCCGCCGCCCGCGCTCGCCCCGCGCCCGCTCCGCGACGCCTGCCACTTATCACAATTACACGGCGTTCCCCGTGCCAGTTTGCTTATGAAACATTGATTGCTAGATGTTCCAACTTTTAAGCACTATATTAAAACTTTCGAAATGAGGGCGCTCTCCGGCTTGCTTGCGATTTTTAGGCACACGATTAAGACATGAAATGTAAAGATAATGCAATTTGATTTGTTAGTCTAACTCTACGATTTGAGACTCGATGTCCCTAAAGACCAGGCGAGCTTTTCGCCTTTATTTATTTTTATTAAAACATCAATCTACGTTGGAGCTGGGTGAACTCGGTTTCACCTGGAGAACATAAAATCCTCCATACCAGAGAAATAAGCACCTTTCATAAATCAGCGGTATTCCTGACACATCGATCAATTTTTGGTTGTTAATCCGAAAGGAGGAGTTTTAATTGCTTCCCGCATTCTCGTCCTGGCACCTCGGGCTTCGACCCCTCCCTCCGGCCCTCCAAGGGTCCCACTTTGTATTGCGGGAGGGGCTGTGATGGAGAAATCCCGGGTCCTTCCCCGAATCCCAGAGCCCCCAGTCTCCGCCCGCGCCCGTGCGCGCCTCCCCCGCACCGAGGGCTCCCGGCACGCGCTTAGCTCTCCGCAGCCGGGCCCGGGAGGGCCTCGAGGAGAGGCCACCGGGGACCTGCGAGGCGCCTCAGCGCGCTCGCCGGCCGCCACGACGCTGCGAGGGCCCGGCGCTAAAGTTCCCCGAGCGGCCGGGCCAGAGTGCCGCCCCGGGTCGCGGTCCCCCGCGTCCCCCGGCCCCGCCGCGCACCTTCGCCGCAGCCCCGGCCCGCGCTCCCGCAGGCGAGGAGAGCACACTCCGGCTCGGCCACCCAGCGCCGGGCCCGCGACGCGCCAAGTTCAACTTTGCGGGCCCGTGGCCTCCGGGGGGCCTCACTCCGGGGCGGGAGGACCCCGACGGATCGCGGGCAGCCTCCGCGCGCTTACCTGAGCCACTCATTCGACGGGCATGGCGGGGCGCCCCGGCCGCGAGGTGACGGCGGCGCCGGCGGCGGCGGGGGGCCCAGGCCGGCCTCCTGCTGCAGCTGCTGCGCCGCCTTGTCCTTGGCCTGGCGCTTCATCTTGTAGCGGTGGTTCTGGAACCAGATCTTCACCTGCGTGGGCGTCAGGTGGATCATGCTGGCCAGGTGCTCGCGCTCGGGCGCTGACAGGTACTTCTGCTGCTTGAAGCGCCGCTCCAGCTCGTACACTTGCGCCTGTGAGAACAGCACGCGGCGCTTCCTCCGCGGCGCCGCCGCAGCGTGCAGGGGCGCCAGCGACTTGGCCGCGTCCGCGATGCCCGTCAGCGACCCCATGCCGGCCACGTTCACGCCCGCCGACGGCCCCATGAACCTGGAGACTGGGGAGGGGCCCAAGGGGAAGACCTGTCAGCCGCCGCCGCCCCGCTCTCTTCACACCGCGGCGGCCGCGACGCCGGCGGGGCCGGGTGGGTCCCAGGACGCCCCGCGCGCTCGGGGTCCCAGGGTCCAAGGACGCTCCGCGCGCTCAGGGACCCAGGGTCCGAGGATGCCCCGCGCGCTCAGTTCCCAGGGTCCCAGGACGCCCCGCGCGCTCAGGGTCCCAGGATCCCAGGACTCCCCGCGCGCTCAGGGTCCCAGGACGCCCCGCGCGCTCAGGTCCCAGGGTCCCAGGACGCCCCGCGCGCTCAGTGTCTCGGGGTCCCCCAAACGCTCCCTGAGCCCCGGGCTGCGGCGGGGAACGCCCGCGCCGTCCTTCGGCCGCGGCGGCTGCGCCTGTGACCAGGAGTCGGCGGCGCGGCGAGCCCCCCGAGCTGCGGGATCTGGGGTTTATTTTAGTCCGGCGCCGGGTTTACGACAGACTCGGGGGGCGGAGCAACATCCCAAACGAGCAAACAATGGTCCTTGACATCTTTTTTCTCTCGCCAACACCCCCACCCCACCCCCATTCCCCATAGAGGAGGCAAAAAAGGTAAAGGGGGCAGTTGGATGTTTCTTGAAAGGATCACCCGCTTCGCTTTCTCCATCCTTCCTGCTTCCATCCAGACTTCCTGTCACCCTAGCCCTGGAGCATCAGAAACAGAAACTCAGGCTGGCGTCGAGGCTGGATGTGAAGGACTCCACGCCTCTGCCCGTCAGACCCCAGTTTCCTAAAGTGACTTAGTAGCAAAGTCTAGGGTGTTCGGAGATGGGGGGGGGGAGGGCGGTGGACAGAATGGTGCTAAGTTGAGAGCGGATGGTGGTTTCGCTTAGTCCTCAGCCTCGCACTTGCTCCATCATCTAAAGTGTTAAAAAAAAAAAAAAAAAGCTCTTGGGTCCCGCCGAAAGAGCGCATAAAGAGATGAGGTACAATGACCGTCCTCTCCCTTTGTAGGGTTTCTAATTTATGCGTCTTTAGACTCTCGAGCATCATTTTGTGGGCAACCAACCGGGCACTTTCAAATTAGCTCAAAGTATCCAAATCCAAAGAAGAGAAAACACACAGAGACACAAATACACGGATGCTAATTTGTAAGTATTCTGTTTCTGCTCTGTGGGGATAGAGGTTAGATAAGGGAAAGAGGTTAGGTTTTCCTGTGTTCTGACGTTTCCTGTTCAGCTCGCACCTGTAGAGATCTGTACAGGTATCTTTCCCTTTTGTTTTCCTCCTGCACCCCCCCTCCCCCGAGTGAAAATATCCAACTTTGGGTTTACTGGCCTATCACTACAGTAATCAAAAAAAAGGAAAGAACACACCCCAAAAGTCCAAAATTTCTAGCTGTTCGAAATGGGTCTTTTTATTGTTCAAAAAATATAATCTACTTAAAAATGTGAAATGGGTACAGACATCAGGTGAAAATGATACTTTCCCTTGAAAGATACGCAAATGTAGATAAATGTTTCTTTTTTTAAAAACTTTGTCATCCTTTGATTTGTCAATTTACCTGCATAGCATAGAAGAACTTAAGACATTGTGAACTTTCTTATGAATGCTGAACATGACAAAGAATAAGACAAAAGAAGTCTGTGAAGCATATTGACTAAAATTTGAAAACAGTGCTTCACTTAAAACTGCCAGAGAAACGAAGATGCAGTTTTTAAGGTTTCCTGGAGACTGGGGTAGGAGAAAGAAAAACAGGGAGAGTGCTTTCTTAAGCAAGATTTTATTGTTTAAAACAGAAGAACAGGATGTAAGAAAACAATTCCAGTTTAACCTATTAGAACATAAAATCTAATAGTACACATCTTGAAGGTAAGAACAGTTACCTATTCCTTTTCTTGTTTGGTTTCCGTACTTTGATTGGAATGTTTTCCGTGGTTTTGCTTTTATTGTTTTAATCATTGTTTTGTTCATTTCAATGAGTTTTGCAAAGAATCTAGGGGTGGGGGGGGTGGGGGAGAATGGACCCACATTTACCTATGGGAAGAAAGTGTCAACCAGGCAAGTGTGTAGAGTATTAGTATTTTAAAACACTGAAAGAACAAAAGACAAGGTACCGTGATTATTTGCAGTTGTCGGTTATTTACTTAGCAATCAGAGTATTGCTATAATTTTAACACCATGCCATTTTTACAGGTCTTTCCTGAGCTTGAAACATTTGGGCTAGGTCTTCATCCTTACCTGCAGTTTAATTGCCTACTTAATTTTTTTTAATTAATGAATTACAGAGAAGCATTTATGTATGTATTTAAGTAGTTGCTGGAATCTTGAAAACTGCACTTTGGTTTTTTAAGTTTTGGTTTAATTCAAAATGTATTGTTTACTTGATCCACTTAAATAAAAAATAGTAGACAGTCTTTCATTTCAAACTTTCCTCAAAGATAACAGAGTAAGTAAAAATAGTTGTTTTAGCATCCATGGACAGAAAATGTCATTTGTGAACCATTATGTTTTACTTTTAAAGTTCAAACATGTTTCAAAAATGAAACCTATTATCATAATCTTTGTATTGATTAGTTATCCAAGCTGCAAAAGTGCTTATCATTAGTTTTTTCCAGACAGTTATTATTTGCTCTGTTTTCAGGCTATATATTTCATCTCATGTAATATTTTTATAAACTTTAGGATAGCAGTTCACTTGAGTGGTTGAACTACAAGTTGTTGCTTATTTTGTTTTTCAACTGTAGTGGTTCCTGCTACAAGTCTGATGACATCTGGAAAGCTCACACCTTTGAATAAAGAAAGCACCTTATCATGTCTGGAGGCTCTCTGTCACTTTCTGGCTGCTTGGGAACTTGATACCCTAATTAGTACTCCTTTACTAGAGGTAAACAGTTATGAAAAATATCCACAATCTTCAACAGTTCTTCCTCTCAGTTGTTTGGGTCTCATTTCAGAAATTGCATATCTTCGTGCTGAAAACACTGGATGTGTGCAGATGATTCTGAAAACATGTATTCTGGAGGATGTGTATATACAGATGCAAATTAGAATAATCCAGTTGATACTTCATTAAAGGTTTTTATCAAATTCATTTCATCATATTACTGTCTACCTAAATTATGTATGGAAGTTAATACTCAGTAGATTGTTAAATACTGTTGACCAAACTGGATTTCACAGGAAATATATCTCTGAGAAATGTTTTCCTGTTGGTTTTTTTCTTTTCTTAAAAACAATGCTGGCACTCAGTAAAAAAAAAGAAAAAAGAAAAAAATACTACCAAAGAGAACATGGTGAAAAGAGATGGCCCTGCCTCCCCATCCTCCAGCCTTCTCTTCCCCTGCTCAGAGGCACAGTTACCTGATTCTTCTGGGTGAGTCTGTACATCTTGAAACATGCTGCCATTTTACACATGGGAGGTGGCATGTGGTTTGATACCTTGGTTTTTTCACAGCTTAGGTTTTTGTACGTTTGTATACCACACCACTGAAAACTTAATAACTGGACTGTGGCAGACATAGAAAAATTATGTAAACAAAAAGATTCAATAGAATCTCTTGGCTTTCTGACAAAAATGTGGTATTCATTGAAAATTTCTCATGTATTAGTTAACCTTAGGGTCAAAATGATTTGGCAAAACAGTCCTGAGGTAGGAGCCTTACCCAAATAGAGGGTTTGCTGTTGTCAAACAGAAGCTCAGAGAAAGACGCCTGAGAGACTTTGCAAAATCAGTTACTTAGAGGGCAATGTTATTTTTCTAGGGTAGCAAGTAGATTTCTAGTGTGTCCTGAATTTACTTATAAAGGAAAATAATGTTTGAAAATACAACTTTCTGCTTGACATTCAAGGTCCATGCCTTTTAGAAATGAGACCCTTGCCACATTTGTGATTAGTTTAAAATAGTTGTTAATAAAATTCTTACTCTTTGGAAGTGCCTTTAAAATATTATCTTTTCAGTAGGGAAGGAACAAAAAGAATATGTCAGGATACTAATATTTTGTAACAAAATTGAGATTATAAAGAGGAAACAAAATTGCTATAGATATGAAACACAGATTTTTTAAAAATTGAAAATGTTTATGAATTTCACCAATTCCTGATAATTTGGTCTCCGTTTATTCCTCCTAAAAGACTCTTTGTCTTAAATGTTCATTTCAATTATTATGAGTCTCTTGTGTTAATTTTACCCTTTGTTATTAACAGAATGACTCTGTTATTTCTACCCCACCCCCAATCCTTGTTTTCCCGACCAGGGTTCCTTCTCTTAACGCTCAGTTCTACTCTCCCTGATGCTCTGAAATGCACCTAGGGCCCAGGACTGAGGCTCTCCTTAGGAGGATAAAAGGAAGAAGTTAGGGAACTTGAACCACCCTCCCCCCACCTCATTCTTTCATAATTTCTTCACAAATGGAAATTTCTTGCAGTTTAACTCCTCTGTTTAAAAAATTTTGAGTCACTGTTTCCTGATCATCAGATTTTTAGATTGAAAATATTCTTCTGATCAATGAATATATTTTAAATTGAAGTGGTTATTAGTACAATGTGAGAAAGAATAGTAGGTGTTAAAGATATGATTGTTGTTGGAATCCTAATAATGAGATCGATTAAATGATTCCTAAAAAAAAAGCACACAAAAACGAAGTCTTGCCTTCTAGTGTCAAATTGTAATACTAACTTTTACAGTCTAGGTAGAAAATAAGGTTATGCTACATCAGAGGTGTAAAAATATTGGTCAGTTTTCAAAAATATGAAAATTGACCACTAGGGCACAACTCTCCTACCCTAGGATTACAAACTTTGGCTAGAAATTTAAATTTTTCTGTGTTTTAAAAATTATTTTTAGAGTAAGTATTAAATACATGATATGGGAAACAAAGGCAGGCAATATGGAATTATACTCTTTATTGCGGCAACAAGTTTACTTGTATATTTTGCTTACACAGAATGTTTAAACTTTAAAATAGCATTTCTATTGAACATTATCTGACATTTTTACATGTCTTGGAATGTAATTGAATTGTTTTATAGGAAGAAAGAATTCTTTGAATTTTAAGCAAAATTGTGTTATTTTGTGTGAGAAGCTAGTCTAAGTTCGCGCTATATCTCTACACATAACCTGAGTGATTACATACAACTTTTTAAAAAATACAGTTTTATAACTTTTATTCTCATGTGCACTCAATTTTTCCAAATCTTATAAGAAGTTCATTGAATTTACTGTAAAGTCTCTTTCTGTCCTACAAGTCCCATTAAAGATGTATCTTCTTATGTTTACAAATTAATTTGTGATTATCAAGGAACGTATCTATCTTTCCACCAGAGTCAGGTACTGGGGTATTTGTTATTGTCGCTTACTTGAAAAAGAAACTTCATTTTGGGGAATTTTGATAAACTGTTTGTTGCATTTATTAACAGAGTTTTACTATGTATATTTTTTGGACATGAATTGAATTTGAGCAACCTCTGGTAGATAGTGAAGGACAGGGAAGCCTGTCGTGCTGCAATTCATGGGGTTGTACAGAGTCGGACCAGACTGAGCGACTAAATAACAAGATGTATATTTTAGAAGAAACAACTATGACAATAATATAAGTAGAAAATGTTGCCCAATTTTGTTGTTCTGTGTACTACAAATGTTGTGGAGGTCTCTGCATTCTAGGTTGAGAATTGTGCTTGATGCAGTAGGCTGGTGTTCATGTCATAAATCAAAATCAGTTTTGGTACTTTTTAAGCAGTTTAGTTTCTGGTTCAATAATTTACAAAGCTTGATATGAAATACTTTTTATTAATGTGCTTTATATAGACACTGAGTGGCATGAAGAGAACTAATTGATAAAAGTTGCTTGTAAGATTTTCTTAAAAAAAAAATCTAGTGAAATGAAAAACCCTGTCAGATGAACTTGATAATTACTAAGTATTGACTCAAAATACCCAGTTTGTAAAGTAAATTAACAATGAGGTGACTCTTCAGTAAAACTGGTGTTTATTAAGTATTTGAAAATTAAGTCCTAAATTTGATCTTGTAACTGTGTAGGGAATTACAGGGGTAATACTGGAAACAAGTATCACCAGACAAGAGCTATTGGAATTTGGCCAAAAACGCCACATAAGAATTACTAGAGAAAATCAGTACAGCTTGAATGAAAGCAACATTGGTATACAACAAGTCTTTAAAAATAAATAATTCTCTCACATGAGAAATAAGTAAAATTTGGAATAAATCATCTCTTCCAAAATAAAAAGTATATGTGTACATGCAAAATAGTTTAAAAAGCTAATAAAACTATCTTAGCTATAGGAAAATGGCAAATTTTAGTGAGTGATTTTTTTAAATTACAAAGTAAAAGAAATTTAGAATAGAATTTTTAATTGTTTAAAGTTCACTTTTTAATGGGATAAATAAATGTTGACCTGTGAAGGGTAGTTTTTGCTTGAATGTTGTGCATAAGTCATTCTAGGAGTTAGATGATGGAACATGTGGTAATTGATTTGTGTTTTATGTACTTACCATTATAAACATATAAAATACTCTCAAAGATCTGAAAGACAACTATTTCACATATGAAATTTTAGTTTTCTGTAAATAGTCTGGTATATATGAAGATTTCTTCTGGAGTTAATTCTCTTAAATGCAGTGTTTCTTTAGAATAATCTGTGGTAGTGCATATATGATTGAGCTGTCACTATGAACATAATTGATGACAGTCTGCCTGATGCAGCTCTTATGAACAATTTGCAGAGATTAAAAGGGTGATGGAAATGGTACTTTAGGAATTGCTTTCTAAAGACACCAGAGGATCGAAAAGAAACCTGGGGTTTCCAGTGCCCTCTGAAATCATTTTCACATAAAACCCAGGTTTAGTAGGTACAAGTGTTGTTTAAGTGCTCAGCTCTTGAAAAAAAATATTTATGTGGCGTAAAGAGATGATTTGGTCGTGGATCTTAAATGATCAAATCTGAGTGTCTGTTCTATACCTGTTTCAAAAGAACAAATGGAGAATCTTTTACCTATTTAGTATTCCATATGTACTTGCATTTAAGTACATAAGCAATAAACGAATATAGATAAATACTCATGAAAGTAAGAAGCTAAGATGTGGCTAAAAGAAGCATCAACTCTATGGGTCATAAAGCCTCCTGAGTTCCTATAGTGGAGCCTCAGTCCTGGTTGTAAGCTTCCTAGTGGTCAGCTGAAAAGCCAGTTAAACTTTTTTGTGTGTGTGGTGGGGGAGCAACCCCCGTCCTCTGATTCCTGAGGAAAAGAAGGACTTCCTAATAGTGTGCTCTGAAAGAAATTCCTCATGGGGGCTTCACATAGGAAACACTGAATATAAAATTATTAATAGTTCTCCAGCAGACGGAGTTATTTCCTGAAATTAGCTTGTTATAGTGGCTATTCCTCAACAATTTGAGACCTCAACACCAGCTCAACTAAGGTAACTCCAAGATGTGGGATCAAAGTAAGCAGCCTGGTCCAGATGTGTAGCCTTCTGATGGCCAAGGAATGAACTCCACACCTTTTAAAGAAGACTTCATAAAAACCACAACATTGTTATGCTTTTGCTATTACAAAGTTCTTATACTGAGGCTGTGACCCTCTAACTTGCAGGTATCAGTCCAGTTCAATACTTTGATGCCAAATTGTAGGTTTGGTTTCCTCCCTTAAAGACTTCTAAATATAAGAAGGTATTATATTAATGATATTATCATACTATGTCTCTCCTTTTCACAAAAAAAATTCCCCAGAACAAAAACATCTGTAATGAACATACACAGTTATTACCCAAGAATTTATCAAGTGATTATCAAGAGTGCCCAGAGTGCTTTAGAAAACTGGAAAGGGAACCTGTCCGGTATCAGAAAGAGGAAACTTATTTTTGTCATCCTTATCCTGATCTTGAAATGGTTCAGTTCAGTTCAGTCGCTCAGTCGTGTCTGACTCTTTGCGACCCCATGAACCGCAAATTCCAGGCCTCCCTGTCTTATCACCAGCTCCGGGAGTCTACCCAAACTCATGTCCATCGAGTTGCTAATGCCATCCAACCACCTCATCCTCTGTTGTCCCCTTCTCCTTCTGCCTTCAATCTTCCCCAGCATCAGGGTCTTTTCAAATGAGTCGGCTCTTCACATCAGGTGGCCAAAACATTGGAGTTTCAGCTTCAACATCAGTCCTGCCAATGAACACACAGGACTGATCTCCTTTAGGATGGACTGGTTGGATCTCCTTGCAGTCCAAGGGACTCTCAAGAGTCTTCTCCAACACCACAGTTCAAAACCATCAATTCTTTGGCGCACTCAGCTTTCTTCACAGTCCAACTCTCACATCCATACATGACCACTAGAAAAAACCATAGCCTTGACTAGATGGACCTTTGTTGACAAAGTAATGTCTCTGCTTTTTAATATGCTGTCTAGGTTGGTCATAACTTTCCTTCCAAGGAGTAAGCGTCTTTTAATTTCATGGCTGCAATCACCATCTGCAGTGATTTTGGAGCCCCCAAAAATAAAGTCTGACACTGTTTCCACTGTTTCCCCATCTATTTCCCATGAAGTGATGGGACCAGATGCCATGATCTTAGTTTTCTGAATGTTGAGCTTTAAGCCAACTTTTTCACTCTCCTCTTTCACTTTCATCAAGAGGCTCTTTAGTTCTTCTTCACTTTCTGCCATAAGGGTGGTGTCATCTGCATATCTGAGGTTATTGATATTTCTCCCGGCAATCTTGATTCCAGCTTGTGCTTCTTCCAGCCCAGCATTTCTCATGATGTACTCTGCATATAAGTTAAATAAGCAGGGTGACAATATACAGCCTTGACGTACTCCTTTTCCTATTTGGAACCAGTCTGTTGTTCCATGTCCAGTTCTAACTGTTGCTTCCTGACCTGCATACAGGTTTCTCAAGAGGCAGGTCAGGTGGTCTGGTATTCCCATCTCTTTCAGAATTTTCCACAGTTTATTGTGATCCACACAGTCAAAGGCTTTGGCATAGTCAATAAAGCAGAAATAGATGTTTTTCTGGAACTCTCTTGCTTTTTCGATGATCCAGCGGATGTTGGCAATTTGATCTCTGGTTCCTCTGCCTTTTCTAAAACCAGCTTGAACATCTGGAAGTTCACGGTTCACGTATTGCTGAAGCCTGGCTTGGAGAATTTTGAGCATTACTTTACTAGCGTGTGAGATGAGTGCAATTGTGCGGTAGTTTGAGCATTCTTTGGGATTGCCTTTCTTAGGGATTGGAATGAAAACTGACCTTTTCCTGTCCTGTGGCACTTTTAAATTATATGTACATATATGTGTATTACTTTATGTATCATTTTAAGTTTTATATATGTATGAACATATGCTTGTATATACATATATGTGTATACACACATGTATACATGCTAGGTTCTGAACAATTGACTTACTAATGAACTCTTTAGAACATATCCTACTAGTTGCTGGTGGATTCTTTACCAACTGAGCTATCAGAGAAGCCTTGTAAGGTGGAGATAAGGCTAAAATCCTAAAACTCACTAACAATCATCTTATTAATGTGCTTTGTACATGCGTGAACTCCAGGTGCTTATCTCATTTGATAGTTATAGTAGAAGGGAGCTTAAAATGTGATCAACATTGACAGTGATTCAAGTGAAAAAAATACTTTTTTTCTTCCAGTTGTATAGAGATATAATTGGCACACAGCACTGTATAAGTTTGAGGTATGCAAGAAAGTGAAGTAGCTCAGTCGTGTCGGACTCTTTGCTATCCCGTGGACTGTAGCCTACCAGGCTCCTCCCTCCATGGGATTCTCCAGGCAGGAATACTGGAGTGGGTTGCCATTTCCTTCTCCAGAGGACCTTCCCAACCCAGGGATCAAACCCAGGTCTCCCACATTGCAGGCAGACGCTTTAACCTCTGAGCCACCAGGCCAAAGCACAAATCCAATCTCTTTTTCTGACTTTGTTTTTGAAGTATAATTTACCTATATCACTATGTTAGTTCCTGTTACATGACATAGTGATTTGATACTTTTATACATTTCAAGCTTATTAATAAGTCTAGCTTTGATATATTATTTAATACACACAAAGACATTACATAATTATTGACTGTATTCTCCACATTGTACATTTCATATTCATGACTCACTTATTTTGCAGTTGGAAGTTTATATATACCTCTTAGTCTCCCTCACCTATTTTTTTTCCTGCCATTACTCCCCTTAACTCTGGGAAACATCTGTTTGTTCTCTGTTTATATATTTACTGTATTGATTCTATTTTTTTTTTTTAGATTCCATGCGTAAATGAATAAATGTAAATGCTCATACAGTACTTGTCTTTTTCTGACTTATTTCAGTTAGCATATTACCCTCTAGTATGAACAAAGCTAGTGGAGGTGACAGAATTCCAGCTGAACTGTTTAAAATCCTAAATGATGATGCTGTTACAGTGCTGCACTCAGTATGTCAGCAAATTTGAAAAGCTCATCAGTGGTCACAGGACTGGAAAAAGTCAGTTTTCATTCCAATCCCAAAAGAGGGCAATGCCAAAGAATGTTCAAACTACCGTATAATTGTGCTCATTTCACATGTTAGCAAGGTTATGCTCAAAATCCTTCAAGGCAGGCTTCAGTAGTACATGAACTGAGAACTTCCAGATATACAAGCTGCGTTTCGAAGAGGCAGAGGAACCAGACACCAAATTGCCAGCATTCTTTGGATCACAGAGAAGGCAAGGGAGTTCCAGAAAAACTTCTGCTTCGTTGACTGTGCTAAAGCCTTGACTGTGTGGATCACAGCAAACCGCTGGGAATTCTTAAAAGATGGGAATTTACCTTAACTGTCTCCTGAGAAACCTGTATGCAGGTCAAGAAGCAACAATTAGAGCTGGACATGGAACAATGGACTGGTTCCAAATTGCCAAAGGAGTATAACAAGGCTATATATTGTTACTCTGCTTATTTAATATTATTACTATATGTAGAGAAGATCATGCGAAATGCTGGGGTGGATGAAACACAAGCTGGAGTCAAGATTGCCGGGAGAAACATCAACAACCTCAGATATGCAGATGATGTGACTGTAATGGTGGAAAGTGAAGCAGAACTAAAGAGCTTCTTGTTGAGGATGAAAGGGGAGAGTGAAAGAGCTGCCTTGAAACTCAAAATTATATAAAGTTTAAATTTCAGTGTTTATAAATAAAATTTTATTGAACAGAGCCACACACTTTATCAGTGGCAGAGTTGAGTACAGTAGTTGCAACAGAGACCATATGGCCCATGAGTCTAAAATATTTACTTGTTGGTGCTTTTACAGAAAATGTTGGTCAACCTCAGTGAAGGTGAAAGTGAAAGTCGTTTTTCCAAATACGCAGTCCCACAACTATCTCCAGAAGTAATCACTATGGAGGATTTTCGGGGTATGTTTTTCTAGCTGTGTATGAATACACATATATTCTCTAGTTCTATTTCTTTATGTATCTATAACTTATGCATTCACACTTAAGAAATATAATGGCATCATTACATATACTGATTTCTTCACTTAACTGTATTTTATATCAGCTTGCAAATCAGTACTTTTACATACATTCCTCGTCAGTACAAATATGTGCTTTAATGGCAGAGTGTGTAGATGTTCTCTTTCTAATTATTAATATTCCATGAGAGTTTTACTGTATTTTATTTCATGGGTCCCATGTTAACGAGTATACTTTCTTCCTCTTCTCTCTGTCCCTTCCTTTCCCTTTTCACCTGTTTCTTATTACAAACAGTGCTGTGGTGAATATGTGCAGATCTGTGTGTACTGGTACAAATAATTCCTCAGGATGGATTTCCAGATGTAAAATTGGATCAAAGGATAAGCTTATTATACATTTTGGAAGAAGTTGTCAAATTACCCTCCCAAAAACCTGTATCAGTTTACATGTCAGCAATGTGTGATGTAACCTTTTGTCGCTTTGTCTCTCACCAACACTGGATAATTATTTAAAAGTGTGTTTTTTAATCTGTCTAGTTTTACATACATAACTTAGTATTTTGTTAATAGTCTTCCATTTCCTAAGTTACTATTGCTCATTTAAAAAACCAAAATAAGGAAAGAAAATTAACCAAGACACATATAAAGTGCAAAGGGAAAGTCATTTGAAATAACATTCAGAAATAACCACTCAAATAAATATTCAAGCTAGAAATTTTAGCTTAGGGCTCTGATATATTCATATTTTCATTCATGTTAGTTTTCTATGAGAGGAATATGGCATGGTAAAAAGCAATCATGCTTTAGAATTAGACTTCAGTTGATTCCTACTCTATTGAACTGTAAAATTTGGTGGCAAATTTTACTAAAACTTTCTGAACTCAGTTTTCCCAGCTGTAAAAATGTGAAGGTTAGCTTAAATAGGTTTAAATAGTAGATGAAATCACTGATCATAGCTGTTTCCTAGAATATTTGCTTTATTTCTTGCTTCCTTTATTTTACTCTCACTCACTACTTTCTTTCTGAGAACAACAGAAAGACATATTTCCTAAAATACCATGTAGTATTGCAGAGGTTGGTAATCCACAATATGTCAAAGGAGATAGATGAGAAGTAACATTGGTATAATAACAGATACGGGCTTGTGGAGAGATTTATGTCTTTAAGGACTGAGTATTCTCACCATATCCTGACATCTCTTCTTCAATTCTTCTCTTGTCCCATGACATTCTACAGCCAAAATGTTGAATAACATTATCCTCCCCCCCCCCCCCCCCGCTCCTTTAGAGAAAGCATGACTCTTCAGGCATAAAGAAAGTACTTAAATTTTTTTTTTATTGAAGTTCCATATCCTGACATCTCTTCTTCAATTCTTCTCTTGTCCCATGACATTCTACAGCCAAAATGTTGAATAACATTATCCTCCCCCCCCCCCCCCCCCGCTCCTTTAGAGAAAGCATGACTCTTCAGGCATAAAGAAAGTACTTAAATTTTTTTTTTATTGAAGTATTGTTCATTTACAATGTTATGTTAGTTTCAGAAGTTAAAGTAATTCAGTTATACAGACATAGATACATTTTTTCAGGTTCTTTTCCCTTATAGGCTATTATAAAATATTTATATAGTTTCCTGTGCTATAGAGTAGGTCCTTGTTGGTTATCTGTGTTATGTATAGTAATGTATACATGTTAATCTCAAACTCCTAATTTATCCGTTCCCCCACCTTTCCCCTTTAGTAACAAGTTTGTTTTCTAGGTCTGTGTGTCTATTTCTGTTCTGTATATAAATTCATTTGTATCATTTTTTAAAAGATTCTGCATATAGGTGATATCATATGGTATTTCTTGTTCTCTGGCTTACTTCAGTTAGCTTGATACCCTCTAGGTCCATCCATGTTGCTGCAAATAGCATTATTTCATTCTTTTTTATGGATGAGTATGGTTTTAGAAAAGGCAGGGGAACCACAGATCAAATTGCCAACATCCACTGGATCATCGAAAAAGCAAGAGAGTTTCAGAAAAACATCTGCTTTATTGACTATGCCAAAGCCTTTGACTGGGTGGATCACAATAAACTGTGGAAAATTCTGAAAGAGATGGGAATACTGAGGTGATGGAATTCCAGTTGAGCTATTTCAAATCCTAAAAGATGATGCTGTGAAAGTGCTGCACTCAATATGTTAGCAAATTTGGAAAACTCAGCAGTGGCCACAGGACTGGAAAATGTCAGTTTTCATTCTAATCCCAAAGGAAGGCAATGCCAAAGAATGCTCAAACTACCTCACAGTTGCACTCATCTCACACTAGTAAAGTAATGCTCAAAATTCTCCAAGCCAGGCTTCAGCAATACATGAACTGTGAACTTCCAGATGTTCAAGCTGGTTTTAGAAAAGGCAGAGGAACCAGAGATCAAATTGCCATTATTCACTGGATCATCGAAAAAGCAAGAGAGTTCCAGAAAAACATCTGCTTTATTGTCTATGCCAAAGCCTTCAACTGGGTGGATCACAATAAACTGTGGAAAATTCTGAAAGAGATGGGAATACCAGACCACCTGACCTGCCTCTTGAGAAATCTGTATGCAGGTCAGGAAGCGACAGTTAGAACAGCAGACTGGTTTCAAATAGGAAAAGGAGTACATCAAGGCTGTATATTGTCACCCTCTTATTTAACTTCTATGCAGAGCACATCATGAGAAATGCTGGGCTGCAAGAAGCACAAGCTGGAATCAGGATTGCCAGGAGAAATATCAATAACCTCAGATACGCAGATGACACCAGCCTTATGGCAGAAAGTGAAGAGCTAAAGAGCCTTTTGATGAAAGTGAAAGAAGAGAGTGAAAAGTTGGCTTAAAGCTCAACATCAGAAAATTAGGATCATGGCATCCGGTCCCATCACTTCATGGCAAATAGATGGGGAAACAGTGGAAACAGTGTCTGCCTTTATTTTTTTGAGCTCCAAAATCACTGCAGATGATGATTGCAGTCATGAAATTAAAAGGCGCTTACTCCTTGAAAGGAAAGTTATGAGCAACCTAGACAGCATATTAAAAAGCAGAGACATTACTTTGTCAACAAAGGTCCGTCTAGTCAAGGCTATGGTTTTTCCAGTGGTCATATATGGATGTGAGAGTTGGACTGTGAAGAAGGCTGAGCGCGCCAAAGAATTGATGATTTTGAACTGTGGTGTTGGATAAGACTGAGAGTCCCTTGGACTTCAAGGAGATCCAATGAGTCCATCCTAAAGGAGATCAGTCCTGTGCGTTCATTGGAAGGACTGATGTTGAAGCTGAAACTCCAATACTTTGGTCACCTGATGTGAAGAGTTGACTCATTGGAAAAGGCCCTGATGCTGGGAAGATTGAAGGTGGGAGGAGAAGGGGATGACTGAGGATAAGATGGTTGGATGGCATCACCAACTCAATAGACATGAGTTTAAGTAAACTCTGGGAGTTGGTAATGGACAGGGAGGGCTGGCGTGCTGCAGTCCATGGGGTTGCAAAGAGTCAGACACAACTGAGCTACTGAACTGGACTGATTCTGTTCCATTGATCTTTGTGTTCATAATCTTAATGTATTGTTGGATTCAGTTTGTTAACATTTTGTTGAGGATTTTTGCACAGTGTACTTATCAGTGATATTAGCCTGTCATTTTTTTATGTGTGTGGTATCTTTGTCTGGTTTTTGGTGTCAAGGTGATGCTGGTCTCACAGGATTAGTTAGCAAGCATTCTTTCCCCTCAAATTTTTGGGATTAGTTTGAGAAGGATAGGTGCTTACTTTCTATTTCTGCTGGTTCAGTCCTGGGGAATTGTACATTTGTAGGAATTTGTCCACTTGTTTTGGGTTGTCCATTCTGTTGACTTATGGCTATCCTTTAATAATATCTGATGATTTGTTGTATTTATGTGCTGTCAGTTGTAACTTCTCCATTTTCATTTCTCACTTTATTGATTTGAGCCCTTTCTGTTTTCTTCTTGATATATCTGGCTAAAGATTTATCAAGTTTGTTTTATCTTTTCGAAGACCCAGCTTAACTTTGCTGATCTTTTCTATTATTTTTTAGTCTCTATTTCTGCTTTATTTTCATGAGTTCTTTCCTCCTGCTAACTTTGGGTTTTGTTTTTTTCTAGTTTCTTTAGGTGTACAGTTATATTGTTTGTTTGAGATTTTTCTTATTTCGTGAAGTAGACTTCCTTGAGGTGTACAGTTAGATTGTTTGAGATTTTTCTTATTTTGTGAAGTAGTCACTAAAAATTAATCTCTTAGAACTTCTTTTGGTGTGTACCATAGATTTGGGGATCATTGTGTTTTCATTTATTTCTTCAGATTTTTAAAAATTTCCCCTTTGATTTATTCAGTGATACGTTGGTTGTTTAGTAGCCTATTGTTTAGCCTCCACATATTTGTGTTTTTTTACATTTTTTCCTTGTACTTGATTTCTCGTCTCATAGTGTTGTGGTCGAAAATATGCTTGATGTGATTTCAGTTTTTCACATTTACTGAGACTCATTTGGTGGTCTAGCTTGTGATCTATCCTAGAGAATGTTCCATGTACACTTGAAAACAATTTGTATTCTGCTGCGTTTAGATGGAATTTTCTATCTATATCTTTTAAGTCCATACAGAGTCTAATATGTTATTAAGGCCAGTATTTCCTTATTGATTTCCGTTTGAATGATCTGTCCATGGATGTAAATGAAGTGCTAAAATCCTGTACTAATATTCTGCTACTGTCAATTTTTCTCTTTATATCTGTTAATATTTGCTTTATTTATTTAGGTACTCCTGTGTTGGGTGCATATATATTTACAATTGTTATATCTTCTTCTTAGTCCATTTTGTATGATACAAATGTTGCTACCCTGGCTTTTTTTTCCATTTCCATTTTAATGATAATCTGGTTAGGAGTTGTGCTTTGTTTAATGTTTTCTGCAGTTGTGGGACACATTTCTCCAGTGTCCTTACTTTTTGTCCCTCCTGTTGTTTTAGGGCCTTATTAAGGACTTTCTTAAATAGAGCCTGTGTCTCAAAGCTCTTTCAGCTGCAATTCCACTGTTATTATACCATAATAGTTATGATGTGGTGGTCAGTCACGGGGTGGAGGAATGTTCTATAATCTTATGATTAAATCTCAGTCTTTCAGCGGGGCTGTGTCCGTGGATGTGACCTTCACAAGTGCGTTTTAGTTCTCCCCTGCCTGCAGAGAGGCAGAAAAAGCCAGAGAGGGCTGGGGCTGGAGAAAGGCCCTTCCCTCAGGTCAGAGGCGTCCCCAGTAAAGTCCTTGCCCTTGGAGGATGGGCATTTTTAGGGCGACACTCTGGGTGCATTTCACAATGGTTACTTTCCCGTCCCCCACCATAGCCCTGGGGGATCTTTCTTGGCTTTTTACCATCAGAACCTGGGGTCCTTGGAGGTAAAACCCACAGAAGTGTGGACCCCTCTAAGGCTGAGCACCCCACGAGGTTCTCACTCTTGCATTGCTCCAGCCTGAGCCTCCAGCTATTCATCACACTTGCCCTTTGGGTGCCCCTGTCGGCTTATGGCTCCTGCACTTCCACTCCAGTTAGACACATCTCAGCTGTGACTCCCAGGGTTCTCCCGTCCTGCCAGATTTCAAGGTAGCAGATAGCCTTGCGTCTTCAGTTCTCTGATGGGCCTAAGAAAAGCCACTGATATTTCAGTTTGTCCGGATTTTGCTTGTTGTAAAGAAGAGAATGATGATTTCTAAGCTCTTTACATTTAGAGGTGACATATGCTGAGCACTTAGTAGCCACTAAATAAACAGTTTATCAGACGGTATAGTTTTGTGTATTTGTTTAAAACTTTTAGTTCTGAAAATTACCAGCTTACATTTAAAAAGCTTAGTATAAAATTAAAGCTGTCTTAAAATACTCAGAGAGTTATAAAAGGGAGATTGGATTTGTTATCAGTAGCATCAAAAGATCTATTTGATTAATATGATATTGCTAATCAACTATACTTCAATTAAAAAAAATTTTAAGAGCTATTGGAAATTTTATATGTGTAGGCAGATCTTAATTCAACATAAGAAAATTCTGGGAAAATTATTCATCAATGTTGGGCATATAGGTGGCAGTTTATTAATATTAAAATCCATTCCTAATTGTGAATTGATTTGGGGATGCCACTAACTTTTTTCTGTTCCCCCAGGTGAGTAGGTAAAAGCAGAAGTTAAATGACAACTCTTCAGGTGCTGATGATAAAAGATAAACTATCTTGGATGAGAGGGGGCGCTATGTAACTTCCAATGGGGAGATTCTGTGTTTCTCAGACACTCTGTCCTTTAAAAGGGGAGAAGTCCACTTCTCTTCCAGAGTTTTGTCTAACTAGAGTTTCAGTCCGTTTAAACACGTTTAATGGTGATGGCGTAGAGGATGCTGATGTTCAGTGCCCTAAACCCCACTCCAGCTTTGCTGCTAAGGGTTGGACATGGAACCCAGCTGTGCTGGGCTGTGGTGACATTGCTCATGTTGCCTGTAAGGCAGAGGACAGAGAAAATGCACTGTGCGTGAGCTGTTAGGAAGTGACTTTGCCCTTTTGCAGGAGGTTGTGTGCAGGGAACAGAGAGGCTCAGGATGTCTTAAAGGTGATCTCCATTGCTTGTAAACTGCTGCCTGTAGCAAGCTTACTGAAGATGCAAAGCTTATGTGCAATATAGCTATTGTGTGTTGCCTTTGCACTAAAAGCTTTATTGTTAATGACAAAAGAGAGAAAGACCTTGGTTGGTTGTTTTACTACTTACTGTTTTATTTCGAAGAAACAATCATGTTCTCAAATGTTGAAAAATAAAGCAAATCTTTTAAATGTTGTTTTCAAGGGCGGAGAAAGATCATTTTGAAGTAATGATGTTTCTGAATTTTGTATAATTTATGATCTCTAGGGCTTCCCTGGTGGCTCAGAGGTTAAAGCGTCTGCGTCCAATGCAGGAGACCTGGGTTCCATCCCTGGGTTGGGAAGATCCCCTGGAGAAGGAAATGGTAACCCACTCCAGTATTCCTGCCTGGAGGATCCCATGGATGGAGGAGCCTGGTAGGCTACAGTCCACAGGGTTGAAAAGAGTCGGACACAACTGAGCGAGTTCACTTCGCTCACTATGATCTCTAAATTCTATACAGTTCATGTCTTTTCCTTCTCTAATCAACCCCAGATATGTTTGTAAACATATTTATGTTTTAGGAACCACTTAAGCTGACTTCAGTGTATTTCCTGAAGAGTTGAGCCCAGAAAATTTAGGGCTTTGCCCAAGTCACTTTTGATAGTTAGTGGCGGAGTTGATAGATATTACATAAAGTGATCCTCTCTTAGCAGTCATAATTCTAAAAAATTTTTAGTTAAGGCATAATTAAGATACCTTAAAATTCATCCTTTTTAGTGTTTAATTCTTTGAGGTTTGACAAATGCATGTAGTCACACAGTCATGTAACCATCACTACAATAAAAATATTGAATATTTCCATTAACCAAAAAAAAGATCAACTGCGGCCTTATAAAGATTTAGGTTTAAAAAAAAAGATTTAGGTTTTACTTTTAGGTCTATGATACTTTTGTGAGACTATGAGGATGTGTGGATCTAATTATTTCCTTCTTCCTCCCCCTTTCTTCCCCTGTCTCTCCTTCCTCCCTCCCTCCTTCCTTTCTCTGTTCCTTTCTTTCACAAGTAGATATCCAGTTATTTGAAGACCATTTGTTGAATGGCCCTTCTGTTTTTGTTGAAAAGTAATTCACCATGTATGTATATATCTAAAATTTCTGAGCTCTCACGCCTGTTTTATTGATCTATATGAGTATAAATCTCAAAGTTTTAAAATTCATTAATGTGATTAAGATATGTCTTTGGTTCCATGATTACTTTCTAGTTTCTAGAAAATCTGTTTCAATATTAAAAGTATTCAAGAGTGAAACATTACAAAGAGGGTAGAACTATTTCTTTCTTTGAACTCCAGTCTCTGTTTTTGTCTCACTCCGTCTTTCTGGCCTGAGTTTGGACTGCAGTGCTTGCATCAAGATATGAGGGCCCCAGCTTCTCCCCTGCCTACGTTCAAAGCAAGACTTCTTTGGTTTCTTGACAAGAGCTGTATTTCATCAGGTATTTTGTTTCTGAAGTATTCTCTCTCCAAGTCCATATTTAGCTGTAGGTAGATTTTATCTCTGATGTTGGGGGTGGTGTGGGTGCAGAAGCAAAGGATAGAGCACCAGCCACTCAAAGCCATGCTCCGTACACCTCCCGGGTCTTGGGTCTAAGTTCGTCCTCACTCCTGGGACCCCATGTCTATTGAAGAGAGGAATGAGAGGGGAAGGGTTTTCCTCAATGGCTCTCATTCTATAATTGCCGTTGAGTGGGCTTTCTGTAACTTTGCAAACATGCCCCTCTGCCTTGACACTGGACGAGCAAGGTCACTCACAGACTGTAGGGGCCTCCCGCTCGGCTCCATGCACATGGCTGAGCACCAGGTTCCAGAATGTTGCAGTTAGGTTTGCAGATAATGACATTCACTGCCCCTTCTGTGAGTGGCACTTGGTCGCCTCCACTAAACTGTGCTGCTTCCTGCATGCCAAAGCCTGTCTCTCTCCCTTCCAGTCGGCAGTTCACAGAGCGAGCCTCCAAAGGGACTCTGCCTGGACATGTTCCCAGAAGCAAGCCATTGCCCTTTTCTCGACATCATTTCCCCCTTCCCTGATAAAGTCAAGTCGGTAGTCTTCCTCACCATCCCCTCTGCCGAGATCAGAGCCCACTGATTAAGCCAGCCTCGGGCAGTTCACAGTGCTCCTTAGCACTTTGCAGCACCCCCAGCTCCCAGCCTCGTACCCCCAGAGTTAACAACAGACCCGTTCATCTCCCTTTTCTTGAGGGCAGCCTAGCCAGGCACAGCTCGCTGGGTGGCGGTCAGTGAAAATGCAGCTAAGCCTCCTGACTCAGCTGCCCAGCCTTCCCGTGCCCCCGGTCCCTTGTTTGCTGGGCCGCTGTTGGCGAACAGCACCTTCCTCTTCCCTGATGCCTCAGAACTGGGAGCAGCAGCCTTCCAGGGCTGGAGGAGCAGCAGCTGAGTTTTATCTGCAGCCTTCATCGCTCCATTTCGCGTATTCAAACTTCAGTCTTCCAGGAAGGCCCCTGTGTGAAAATGATCCCAGGGCCTCAGTCAGGCCATCTCTTGTCCTTTCCAGGACATGACCCCCAGAGTCAGACATTTTAAAATGTACTGTGTAGTCTTCTAGATTCTGTTGCGTGTTAAAAAAAAAGGCAAACAAACATGGGGTGATAGATACCTTACAGACTGCAGTCTTCTTTATTCACCCCTTTGTGTGTGGCATTTTTCATGTTGTGGGCTGCATGGAATGCCAGTCTATAATCACAGCATGGTTTGCCTCTCCAGAGCCTCCGTGATGTTCACATTGACCCAATTTTCAGATATTGTGAACAACACTCCCTTGAACATCCCTGTATATACACGTCAGTGCTCCTGGACGATGACTGACTTAGGGTGTATCCTTAGAGGTGGAGCTAATAACATTTATATGTTGATACACACCACTCTTTAGAAACAGCACGACTGATGCTCTCCCCAGCAGTACATAAGGGTCACTGTTCCCAGTATTGAGCTTCATCATTCTTTTTCATCTGTCTCAGACCATACCTATAACTAGGGCAAACAGAGTATTTAATTGTTTCAGTTTGCATGTCTTTGCTTATTAATGGGGTTGGTTATCGTTTCATATATGTAATAGTCAATTGCCTGTTTATATCTTTTTTTCATCCCAGAGAAGGAAATGGCAATCCACTCCAGTATTCTTGCCGGGGAAATCCCATGGATGGGGAGCCAGGGTCACAAAGAGTCGGTCACAACTAAGCCACTAAACAACAACAGTTTTTTTTTCTACTATAGTGTTCATCTTTTTTGTTTTGATTTGTAAGAGTTCTTTATATGGTAAAGGTATTAACTCTTTGTCTTGTGTATATATTGCAGTTATTTCCCCAGTTTGTTTGTCTTTTAATTTTGATTCTAGTGTCTTTTGCTAAAAGGACTTTAAATTTGTATACAGCCAAGTGTGCAGGTATTTTCCTATGTGGCTTCTCATTTTTCACTCATTTCCTATGCAAAGATTATAAAATATGTAATTGTATTTATTGCCATTAGTGGTGTTTCCCAGGTGGTGCTAGTGGTAGAAACCTTGCTTGTCAATGCAGGAGACTTAAGGGACTCAGATTTGATCCCTGGGTCAGAAGATCTCCTGGAGGAGGGCATAAGAACCCACTCCAGTATTTTTGCCAGGAGAATCCCATGGACAGAGGAGCCTGGCAGGCTATTGTCCATAGGGTTGAAAGAGTCAGACGCAACTGAAGTGACTTAGCATTCATGCATGCATTGCCATTAACATTTTAAAAAATCTTTTAAGCATGGAGAAGCTGTTCTGTTAAAGGAAAGAATATTGTAGCATGATTTCCCAGGCTGAATGGAGGAGGGGAGTATAATGTCACTTCTTGACAGGTCTGGTGAAATAGACTCTCATGAGCTCCAGAGAAGTTGAGTAGAACCAAGAGCCCAGTTTGATGACATTGATTGTGTCTAAAAGTTAATACAAGCGTCCCAAATGCTTTATAAGTAAATGAAAGGTAGAACCTATGATTCTCTTGTTACTAAGTTGAAGAAATGTTTTGTTTCCAGCCTTGACCAAATATGTACTAACTTTATAATTTTAGACCACTAACCAGTTGGCCTAGAGTTTTCTGTATAAGGGGAAAGAAACCTGGCTAAGCGATGTGTTATTAATTACTGTGCTGCCAACCATTTCATCCTCTATTGTCCCCCTCTCACCCTGTCAGATGAGATGGTTGGATGGTATCACCAACTCAATGGACATGAGTTTGAGCAAACTCCAGGAGATGGTGAAGGACAGGCAAGCCTGGCATGCTGTAGTCCATGGGGTCGCAAAGAGTCGGATATGACTGAGCAACTGAACAACACCATTGCAGCCACTCTGAGAAACAGAATGGACACTCTCTCAAAATTTTTCTCAGTTGTTAAGACTGTTGGTGGCACACACACATGAAGAGGGTATGAAAAGTTTAATTATGTCCTTAATAGGAGGTCTCTAGGGAGAGCAAGGCCAGGTAGTCAAGGAGGTCCAGATTGGCTCCAGAGCATAAAGAAAGGAGACATGTGTTTATCATTGCTGGGGTGGGGCTGGGAGGAGGGTTCCCACATGTGGGCAGGGCCTTGCCTTATTCGAGCCTTCCTCTGGAGTCAACAGAGGGGGGTTGTTTTTGTTCATTCCCTACTCTCTATGCCCCATGGACTGCAGCACGCCAGGCTTCCCTGTTCTTCACCGTCTCCTGGAGTTTGCTCAAACACATGTCCTTTGAGTCGGTGATGCCATCCAACCGTCTCATCCACTGTCATCCCCTTCTCCTCCTGCCTTCACTCTTTCCCAGCATCAGGGTCTTCTCCAATGAGTCAACTCTTCTCATCAGGTGGCTAAAGTATTGGAGCTTCAGCTTCAGCATCAGTCCTTCCAATCAGGTCTGTTTCCTTTAAGGTTGACTGGTTTGATCTCCTTGAAGTCTCAGGGACTCTCAAGAATTTTCTCCAACACCACAGTTCGAAGTCATCGATTCTTTGGTGCTCAGCTTGCTTTATTGTCCAGCTCTCACATCCATACATGACTACTGGAAAAACCATAACTTTGACTATATGGACCTTTGTAGGCATAGTAATGTCTCTACTTTTTAATATGCTGTTTAGGTTTGTCATTGCTTTTCTTCCAAGGATCAAGCATCTTTTAATTTCATGGCTGCAGTCACCATCTGCAGTGATTTAAACCTCAGCAGAGGGAGGGGAGTGGCTTAAAAGCTGATAGAAGACACACTCCTTATTGAAACCACCAATCTCTATATAGTTATATTTACATATCCTTAGGTTCCTGGAAGTGCTGAAAGATGGGAGCACCTTTGTGTATTCAAGAGTTCACCCCTACAAAATTCTAGTTCATATTCAGTTGTTTTCTGTAGTTACTGATAGCTGGAGATAGCCAACAAGCCAAACACCTTTAGAAAGCTAAAAATCTGTGTCTGGAACTCCAGATAATCACATTGTGGGTGTTCATCACATCTAACCTCGGGTTCCTTGATGGCCCAGACATTCATATTGAAACAGATTTTATTAATAAATGACTTCCTCAGCCACACTGATGTACATGACCTTCTACTCCTCTGATGATAATGCCTCAGCCCTGAGTTTTTCCATTACTTGGTGATTTAGTTACTAATATCCTATGAATCAGATATCAGCAATGCATTTATTTCTAGTATGCTGAGTATCAAAGCTTGGATAAACTATTTTCTTTTGTAAAAATTCTATTTGTTGATATGTGATTTTCTCATTTCCTCCTGAAATCACTTCATCATTGTCAGTAATTTCATTCTCCCTCTTTAGACAGCCGTTACTTCCCTTGACGACTTGTTTTTTAGATTTTCTGCTTTCTTGGTAAGCACTTTCAACAATACACACTGGCATCATGGATTATCTATTTCTTAGATATTCTTGCTTCTGTTGAGAGTATAAATGGCCATTTGATTTCAGTGGTTCTTTTATTTTGATTAGTTATGTATATGTTTGTGAACATTTAGTTCTGAGGTAAATTGGGCTTTATGTCCAATACTCATTTTCAAGGCCCACATGATTGGTTGGGAAAACTGAGAAACCAAATATTACTCTCTTTTTTTCACTATTTAATGCTATGCTGTGTAATTAATTTTTGCCTTCTGTGAAAGCTTGTCATGAATTCCATTTGCAGTTATTTGTTTTTAGAGTTTGTATCTTCTCCTTTTGTTTTTATACTGCTGTATCTTCTTTAATCCTTTGATCCATGCTTTCAACTTAGGTTTTTATTGTATATACAAATAGTTTGCTTTCTTTTGAGGTTATCACTCAAGTGCCTTTCACTGCATAAGTCCTGTAAATTCCATATTTCTGCTTGTTGGAATTCTGGAGATTTATGAGAGATCAACAGGAATTTCACACTTAGATCTGAGGTGAGGGATTTTTTACTAGGCATATTTGACAAATATAGAAAGTGTTAGTA